GGGGGGGGGGGGGGGATGAAAAATCGGCGACGTCTTGCGTAATCCGCGAGCGAGCGGTCGCGCGAGCAATCGGGAAACGGCTGACACCACGGATCGTTCACCTGGATATCTTATCCTGCCGCGCGACGATCGCTCTCGGCGTGACGTTCTCCTTCAGCTGCACCGCCAGCCCGCATCGGATGCTCTCGACGACGCCGCCGGTGCCGCTCTCCTCCCGCAGCTCGGGATCCCGATGGTAACGGTGGGAGTCCCGCATGTCCTCGGCCTCGACGTCGTCCCGCAGGAGCCACCGCTTCGTCACGAGTATACCCGGCGACTGGACGCCGCCGATGAACTTGTGGCCGGCGAAGATGATCGCGTCCTTGTGCACCGCGGTCTCGCCGACGCCGGGCAGGTGAGGATTCATGTCGATCTGCGCGTACGGCGCTGGAAATCAATCGGCCACGGATGACACGAGTCTCTCTCCGAAAAGGAGAGGAAGAGGATGAAGAGACCACCGTCGCGCGTTATCATCCGTTACGTAACGCGAGCGTGCTTACATAAAGAAGGCGCGACGTCAACGACGCGATGATATTTAATTTGTCCTCGTTACAAGAGGCGTGCATCCTTGTTAAGAAGGATACACGCGTGATTTACGAGTGTCACGTTATATCCGCGGCAATGAGCGTAATTAGCGCGCGGCGCGATTAACGCTCGCAGCGTTAAAATCGGACCGGAGGTGCGTCTTGCTTTTTGCGCGTCCGCTGAAATTAATTAGCCGGCGTGTCTTCTCGCCGCGGCTCAGACGGCTAATCGTATCGGCTCGGTTTCTCCTTTATCGCGCGTCCGTTCACGATCGTTACCTGCGGTGGTGTAATCCCACACGCTGAGCGCGCCGTATTGGTGCAACAGGAGGGTCGTCGCGACGTCATCTGCCAAAACCCCCGTTATGCAACTGGCGGCGCTGAAGCATCCGATCATTTGCGCAACGCCCTCGCTCCGCATTCTGGCGAGGCCCCGTTCGAGATCGTTCAGATCTAAGAAGCCCTCCCGGGTCTCGGAAACTCGCACTATCTGCAAGGCAGTTTAATTGCTCCGTCAAGTGACCGCTTGCACGCGACCGCCCGGACGTAGCTTCAGCCGGTAGTAAACGACCCGAAGTATCTCGATTGAATCGAAGGCTTTTTGAGAATCGCATTGCGCGCGCCTTGGAAATATTTACACCGAACGTCCCAGGGCTGTCGCGAAATATGTTACGGCCTCACCGAAGCTGAAGTCAGGCAGCGCGCGGTCAGCGTTATGCAAATCGGTTAATACGCGCGCATATATTTGCACATCGATGTCGTTAATTAGCTAATGTCGAGCGTTCCAATTGTGCATTTACAACTCCGAATTTACATGAGAGCCGAACGAAAACCTTGGGAAGCCCGATCTAAAGTGTATTCACGATCCGAGCGCAATGCTCCCCGCCTTCTCGCGAAGTTGACAAAAGTTTGCAAATTCCATTTTGATAAAACTCGGGAGATTTCGAGAGGAAAAGTCTGCCGAAATCAGCGCACGCGGGATCACTCGCGGGCTATGAACGGCGATTTCGAATAGCTTTTCGCGAGGTAGCGTTAGATAACAGAAGCGGCGCGATAAAAAGGTGGGAACGCCCGACCGCAACGTGGCGCGCTGCCAAAAGCTCGCGGAGCTACATCGCGTTTATTGCGTGCTATTCGATCTCACGCGACCGGCCGTTTTAACGATGCACTTCGGCCGGCGCGCAGTTTTACTGCTCGGGCCCGTTCTTATCTGGCCACTCGAATCGGCCCGACTCGGGCTTTTCCACGTGAATTTATCTGCCGGCTGTCTTACCTTGACATCGAGCTCGCGCCAAGGCCTCAGGTTGGCGTGATGCTCGAACGGGCCCACAAAGACCACGGTGGATTTCGAGAGATCGAGATGTCGTAAAAGTGTGCGAAGGGCAGCGGCGGTGCCTTGACCTGCGAACAACACCGCATCCTGCTCGCCGGCTCCGACCGCGTGTCTGACGATGTCTCTGGCTTCGTGCCTGCAACACGAACGGCGAAACGTGAACGCATGGTCCGACTTCGCCTCTTCCAGCGAAAATTCGGTAGTAGAGGTGGTGGGTTCATCAGCGCGAACCACCGCCTCTGCGCGATGCGAAGCGAGCGTTCACGCGTCAAGCACGCGGCGTAGACGTTTTCCCAGACTTTCCCACACTGAGAAAAGGATTTGGTAGTGAGTACTAAAATTTTCCGAATATTTGCCGACCAAATATACGATATACGGAACTAAATTATTTCGTTGCAGTAATACAGTATTTGGTCAATAAATATTCATCGAATATTTGTTACCAAATCCCTCTTTCAATGCAGTATAGATTCCGATTATCCAAAGTTGTCTCAAAGTAGATTGTCCCACTACGATATCAATTGGAAATCAAATATTCTTATTTGAACATGGCATGAAACCTCTTTTCTGCTGATTAACTGTGTGCACTGCAGCTTGCCTGTGACTATCATCGATTATCCAGATAAAAATTTCGTGCATATTTTTAACAGTTACTGAACATTTTATTAACTTCTATCTAGTAATTGAGGAATAAAACTTTTTCGGATCTCAATCAAAATCTAATGCTTTTCCCGCAGTTATTGCACTAGGAGAAAGAAATTGAAATTTTGCAAAATAAATGTCTTTTGTGACATTTTTTTTTAAATATTTATTGGATAGAAAAAAAATTTGTCTGTGATGATGGAAAATATATTTTTACGAAATATACCTAAATTTTTTTGTTAATTGGTTTATCTGCTAAGAATAAAATTTTATTTTGCCGTATATAAATAAACGTTTATTTTTATGAAATAAGCCTTATGTTTTCTCAGTGTGCGCACAAAAGATAAGCAAAATCTGAATTCTCTCATTTGCTGAACAAAAACAGAACAATAAATAAATAAAAACCATTCAATTAATTAATAAGCAAGCCTGCTGCTTATGAAATGGGCAATTTTTTTCTACAAGTAACTTTGAATAAAACTCTATCAAGTTCTTATCCATTTTCCTCACGGTATTGTTACAATTAATGGGAATGCATTAATGCTAATTAGACAATAACTGGATGGATTTTTAGAAAAATTGCATTAATTGCTACTAAGGTAGAGTCAAGTGACAGTTTGATCGAGTATCAAAAAGAGGTTAATAAATGAGGTTATATTTTTAATGTTATTATGCTTAATAGCGCATGCGTAGCATGTGTGTGTATACTTGTAAAGTGTAAACACTCAAGTAGAAACATATCTAGCCAACTCGAGTTGAGAGCTAATAGCTAGCTGGTACAGACTAGATTAAATTTTCAAGCGCATTAACAGTCTATTACTGGCTAATTTAATTATTCATTAAAATGTGAAATTGGTTTTGTAATATAGCTGTTGTTTAGTCATTACATATCAAATATGATAAAGTAGATGGTATTATCTATTCTAAAATATATAATGTTGCTATTATATACCCGCCACTAATATTTAAAAATGCGGTAGCACCTCAAAATGGAGGATATGTTATTCCATAAAAATCTTAAAACAGCATAAGTGAGCGTTACATTAATGTCTAGCAACTAGTTATAATTTTTCATCTCGTAACTATAATTCCTTTTGTTTAACCGTCAGCTTACTTATTTATCTAGCCATTATCTCATCTTTATCTATCCACTAAGAGAAGTGAACATTACTAGCCGGTAGCGACGTTAGATACGAATTTACCACCGCGTGACTGGACAGGTACAATTTCTATTAGAATACTTAAAATGTTTCTTATATTCCATTTAATCGTAATGCAAAATGGAAATCAGAAAAATGTTTGAGAAAACGTTGGAGATGACCAAATAGGATCTGTTTATATTCCCCATAATTAAAAATCGTATATTCGAAACATTATATACTCTTCTAACTAGAAGCTGCGTAGATTTCCCAATTATTAGGTACCAGAAAAAGTTCGTGCGAATTCTTAAGTCAAAATTGAAATATTCAGAATTTAAAAAAAAAATAGTTTTATTTGACGAAGTAGTCACCATTGACTTTGATGGTGCCCTTTTCCACACCTTTTTTGTGGGTTTGAGCGCACATATCCGCGCAGTTCATCATCTTCGATAACAGATGAACGTGTCGAACACGGCTCATCCTCTGGCGAATCACAACCTTCCTTAACACGTTCATTGCCAATCACGCGATATCGCGTGATGCGAGTTCTCACCAAACGGCCGATCACGCGTTATCATGTAATAGATATTTAGAGTACATAAATCCTATGTACATAACAATAAAAGCATATAAATAATATATTAACTTATTTTGAGTACAATAAAAACTAAATAAAGAAATAAAAAAAATACGAAATTCCAATTTTCAGCTTGGCAATGAACGTGTTAAACCGCTTAAGTCATCTTTAACTTCCATCTTTAACCTCACATAAACAACGGAATGTTGAAACAATTGAAAGCTGCACACCATGTATACCAACGACATTAATGTAACTTTCTGTTGTCATCAATTTCACGCATTACACGTGCGAATTACTGACTGAAATCCTACCTCTATTCATCGCTGAGAAGGAAACCGCATGAACTTTTTTCCGGTACCCAATAGGATCGATAATTATTTTGGGAAATCAGCCTGCGTCCCAATATTAGATCCCAAGGAACTTTCTACGCGGTTAATTCCACTTTGGACAGGGCGTAATGCGATTGCTGATTCGCGATAACATGGCTGTGCATAAAGCGCTCCCGAATACGCCGCGGTTATTGATGAACGGCGGGGAGGCGGACACACCGTGAGTTCGTGTTCGCACGATTGATGCAGAGTCAATATGGATTTAGCTCGTGACGTGAGACAGGGGACACAGGTTGAGGAGCGGAGCACACCTCGCGGTTTGCACACAGTTCGAACGATCGATCGCGCCGGCGCACGGCCATAAACGAAATTCAACCGACCGGCAACTCCGATTTCTCGCGGACGCCGTAGCGTGAGACGCGCCGATTCGGAAAATCAATCTTCTTAAAGTGTCGGACGGACTCCGCTTCAGCGGAGAACACCGGGGTCGAATCGATATTTTTTCATTAGCTGGTCGTCCGAGGCGACGCAGTAGTGGATTTTATTAGCGTCGTGTTACGCGTGTGATACACCTATGTAACGAATCGCGAAAACAACACGACCCCCTTCCCCTCTCTCTTCTCTCGCTCTCTACATATATATATTTCTTATCTCGTGATTTTGATTGTCACTATTATCATATTATTTATATCTTATTGTTTATTATATTATAATATAGTTTGTTATATTATTTTTATATATTATATTATACGTATATGTGTTTTTTGTATTATATTTTTATTTTTAGTTACATATTTTTCTTATATTATTCTATTTCATTTGTAGGATTATGTATGTATTTTCTTGTCATACGCTTGAGAGAGGACTGCGACCCAGGATGCCAATAAACTGCAATTTCTCTCTACCTCTTTATTTCTCTCGGAATAGTGTATAATATATACACATTCGCTTTAAAAGTGACGTCGTTACGCGTCATTTGAGATAAATAACGCAATCATGCGGGAGGGAGCGAAATTGTGGGTCGTAGCAATTTATTGTATATTGTGCAAACGTGTCTCCGAATGTGTCGTTTGTCGCGTGATGGATCCTGCACTGTGTACCGTCATCATTATCCGCCTCCTCGTCGGCCACGGGGTAAGCCCCGCGGGCTCTCTCTCTCTTTCTCTCTCTCTTTCTCTCTCTGGGGGGGTGGATATTGATCTGGGACATCAGCGCCAGTAAACGGGAGAGTCGAGACGAGACCGTTTCACGCGGCCGAGCGAGATTCAAAGGCGACTGATCTATATTTCCTCGAAGAGGGCGCAGTGTGTTGAAAGTCATCGTAGTCGTCGTAGTCGTCCTCGTCGGCGACGACGATAACGACGACGATAACGAATAAACGCTGGGCACTGGGCGTCGTCGACGCAACGGCCGCGTTTTTTCTCCCGCTTCTTCCCCCCCCCCCCCCCCCAACGAACAAACACGACGCGACGGATTGAATTTATGTCGCGTTTGAGAAAGTTTCCAGGCGCGATGTATCTCTCTCTCTTTCTCTCTTCCCAGAAGCTTGATATCGCGGATGCAAAACGACGCGCGAGAACGCCGTGCAACTCGGCCGAATCGCGCCGCGATACGGGAGGAACGGCCGGTTTAGAAACTGCGGCGGACGATAAACCGACTTAATTGCGCGGAGGTATGACGAGTCCCGTTCGAAATAACGCGAGCAACAAGCGACGTGATTAAATATTTCCACAGCTGACGAGACACTTCAACACTTCTATGGGAAACTTTGTACGCGATTCGGAAAAATACAATCCCTGTCCATTATTATTAGACGCACCTTAATTTCTTACGTTTCATTGACTCCCGAGGATCCCGAGCTTTATAATAAGGCTCATCTATCGAGCGAATTATGTTAAGGAACCATTATTCTATAAAAGGTATTTTTTATGACGTCATTTCAATCGACTGTCACAATGACCTTGAACAAGTATGAAGCCGCGCTAGTTGCATTATTGATAATAATGGGAACAGACGTGTTTTGAATGTATGTCAATTGAAATTTAGTTTTATTTTCGTTTATTTGTGACTTGAAATTTCAAATTCCTTGCTTATTAAGAGAAAAATAAATTTTTCTGCGATAAACATTAAAATTATTTACAAAAATTATGGGTAAAACAGGTGATTTGACATCTCAGAAGGTTGTAGAAATAAAAACGCTGTTTGGCACCGAAATTTATTCTAATCGAGTAAACATAAAATTAGCAGCTTCTCTTCTCTTAACCTGTATTTTATCAAAAAATCAAAGTGCGTCTAATAATATGGCCAGTGACAGTATATATGCGCATGGAAAAAAAATTTAACTATCTTGAAATTCCGGAATAATTTGAAGGTTATTTTGATTGTTGCGATCTTTCGGCCGTTGAATAGCGGACGACAACCGGTTGGGGGTGACCGACGGGTGAGGACGTGTGCTTCTTTTTTTCCAATGTTTGGTATTGTCGTGCCTTGCGTACTTTCCGTAATAGAATCATTATTGCCAACTAACCACGCACATACCGCGACATGGAGTGCAACGGCGCGTTAGTTAACATTCCCGCGTCAACTCTTAAGATATTTATTCGGGCTTTCGTCAACATCGCAATTATTAACGGATATTTTTTCTTCAACTATATTGTCGTATATACGCAAGCGTAAGTTTCAGTGTCAGTGGCAGAGCCATTGCTATAGCTGAGCAGCTGGGAGAATGTTAGATTGGGAAGGACATGAGATATCGAAATGTGAACAGCGGTACACGTCATATATTTCCCAGGTATGTCAAATCATTTATTATGCAAGAAGTTTCCTACATAACGGACATTTGTCGAGGAATATTTATCGAGAATAAGAAGAATCGATATTTAGGTCGGCATTCATAGTCCGTTATCTCTTGACGAATAACTATAGCTTAACGAACTTTAGATTATTCATCAATTTGTAACTGTACTTATTTCACATGAGAAATATTGAACCAAGTAGCCGAATAACAGGCCATGAATATGAATTTGTAATTAATTATGCTCTCAATAAAAGAGTGTAAATAAATTTACAGGCCTTAGAATCTAATATAAATATCGCGAATGCTAATTTCCATTCAATAATGCTTCTTAAACGACAAAAACGATCCTGTTTACATTTATCAATACTTTCTTTTTATTTCTGTTTAGCTTTATGATTGTACGAAATATCACAATCTTAATCTCGATTAATAAATAGTATTATTGGACAGGTACAACTGTTGCGGTTTCTTATCGACTCTCTTAAGAGCTTTAAATCTCATTTTCCAACGTCAGAAAATAGAAAGAAAAAATAATGAGAAAATGAGAAGAAAATGTATTACTTTTATCCATTTATCTGTTAATCTTTATTATAATTTATTATATAATATTTACTTATCTCACATATTCTATATTTGCAGTTTAGTACGTAAGTTAAAATAATTCTGTATATTTTTTTGTAAAATAATTAATATATGATTAAAATTAGGATGAGGATTAAATGTAAATAGAATATATTGAGATAATCAAATATATATATATATTAAATAATTCTGTAATGAATCTTTCTTTTTTTTTTTAATTTAACAAGGAAGAAACGATTAAGTAACTATTTGTGACATCAAGATAGGACAATAGCTTTTGTATAGTGTTATATCTCGAGATTTTCCATTGATATTTCAAATTCGATAAAATTTGTTGGATTAATGTAGAACCAAAATATCGGCTCGGGATGCGTCCGACAAATGTTTCAGATGGTGTCACGCTAGGTGTCCCAGTTGCGAAATAAATTATGACGTCGAAATGACGTACGAATCGATCCACGGCTCGAGGTGGATGAAATAAAATTCCGTCGCAACGGTGAAACGAAACCTCCTTCGGCCGTCGGAAATTCGTCAATCACGGAATCCTAATTGCATTCCCTCCACAGTCCTGTACTCATTACAACACGGAATTTAACAATGACTCGCGGTGCGACTGACTTCCGAACGCGAGTCGAAAAGCACATTTGTCCCGCCGAAGGACGTGGACTGTCGGATCCATTAAGCCAAATTGTCGCTTACCTAAAAAGAGAGGATTGCAGACTGCAGATGGACGTGGAGGCTCGAGTGTCGCCCAAACATGGCAGTACCTCCTTCGCGATGTAGTCCTCGAGGAACTGTAGTGACCTTCCCGAGGCGGTATAGTCGCAATAAACCACTGAAACAACACAAAGACGCCGATGAAAGGTGGAACGTTAAAGTATCATGCGGATATCTGCTTTCGCAAAGAGCCTCCGTCGAGATCGCGAAAGCTCGATCCTTTTTCCCTCTCTTATTTTTCATCTTTTTTCCCTTTTATCTTTAATCCCGTAAACAATGTCGCCCGCTTGCGCCGGGAGATTTTACAAGAAATCACGAAGGCAATCGTGTCTTTGTTCAAATAAAACGCAGTCTTGACAACTCGCTCTCTGAGGGGGGATGAAGAGATACGATCGCTGTGGGAAGAGAAGCAATTAATCGTCGATCGGCGATGATGAAAATTTCAATCGCTTTGTGAGATTTTCACGGAAAAGTGCGAACGCTTTTCACCTTCCTTTCCTCTCGCAAGCTTCTTCTTCGCCGGCCGCCGTAAACGCGCAATTCGCCGCTCGCGCGAATGAACGGCTCGGGGAAATACAAGATCTATTTATGGATGTACGATGTGTCGACGATGTCGAGGCGTTAAAATATCTGGTATAAACTGCAAGAGGCCCGTTTCCGCTGCTATTTCCAGGCCTTAGCGAGTTTACCGCAAAACGTAGGCGCAAACACGTGGCGCGCGTAGATCATCGGCGCTCGGATGAGACCGTTCGCCACCGTGAAATCCGGGATATTGGTCAGGGTGCTGAATATTAAAACCGTCGATGGCGCTCTCGTGCATCATCAAATCGCGCGAGCACGGACCGCGCGCAAGATATGCAGATTTATTCGCAGCGCGAGATCTGTTAAGCCGCCATAACCACTTTATATGTTTCTACAACGCCACGTGTGTCGCGTCGCGTAAATCTCGTCCATTTTTGCGGGGAATTCGCGACGGCCTTGGAAGGTGGTGTGTCTGAAGAGCCACGCGTCCGTCGATGGACGAAAACGCCGCGGCGCTGCTCTCTCGCGACCCGACGCGCAATGCCAGCGATGAAGAGAGGAGGCGGAGAGAAAGCCGCTCTTCTCCTTCTCTCTCCGGGCCTCCGAAAACACGAGTGTGAGCGATCGGATCGAAAAATCCACCCGTGATCGCCGTTCGACGGATCCTCCCCGAAAAGTGAATTCCTCGCGTGCAGCCCGCTCGTCCATTCATCGCTTAGAGCGGCGAGCGCGCGCGGCCTTTTTTGCGCGGGCAAATCGAATCGGCCGGCAGCCGGGGGAAAGGTAGGCGAGGGATAATGACTCGCAGGTGTTTCTTACGAAAGCGCTTGATCGACAACCAGTCGCCGCGGCGAAATTATATACGCGAGCCTGCGCGGCACTTTCGCGAGTTTAGGCACGGTGCGCGCTCCTAATATCGTCGCCTCTTTGCCCGCGACAAGCGAGGGATAGAGAGAGAGAGAGAGACATGATCCGCTGACTTCGCCGAACATCGCGTCGCGACAATATCGGGTTCCGTCTTCGGTCAGGAAAGACACCTGATGTTGCTTTTTTGCGCCGCTGCCGCGTCTAATTGCGTAGGGAAACATCGTTAAAAGAGCGCGAATTGCCTCAGCGATCCTCTTTTTAATACAATCGCGCGGAATTAGTAACTCGGCGCGGAGCCGGCAATCATCGTCGATGATGCCAGTCGTCATTACGCAGTTATTGCCTCCCGGTGTATTTATCGCTCGCGGAGCGAAGGCGCTTATTAAATACCGCGGGGAGAAAAGACCTCGTCGTCGTCGTTGTTCTGGATTCAGCTCGTATCGTCGATTATGCAAGATTGTTCGATCGCGGGACACGGAGATTATCGAGCGAGTGTATATACGGAGCGAGCGACGATCTAATTTATTAATCTCGCTCTCCCGTACGCGCGGCCTGATGACAATTCGCGATTCGTTCGGCCGGCAGGCCGGTAGTTTTTACTGAATTATGCCCGACGGTCGGGGCTTTATTTCCTGCCGGCGTCACACACAGATGACGTCAGGATATACCTTGAGTCAGCTCGTGCTCAACAAACGGTGATCGATGCTCAGGGCGAAGCGCCCCCCGCGCGCGCGCGCGCGCGATATCTCGTCGATAGCCCGGTGAACGGAACGAACGTGGGGGAGCTACCGCGAGCGAGCGCACGTAGCGCGAGCTCGCGGGCTCTATACTTTCAGTTCCGCCGACGATAACTGATTCCGCGGAAATAATTTGAATACGTAACAAGCGATCCGTGGAACCTGGTAATGTCACCGGGGGCAGAGCCGTCCGTTGCAACATTCGTTATTCGCATTCGCGTTATTCGACGTGTGCCGAATGAAAAGAACAAAGTTCCCAGCGTCTTGGAAGTAATAGTTTAATGGCGAGTCATTATCTTACGAACCGAACTGGCGTTCGACCGAAATTGTCGACTTCGGTTCGGGTTACAGCTATTTTCGATCGAAAATGAGGGTTTCGATTTCAGCCGAGATTGAGAAAGAGTCTCGACGTAAAGAAGAAGAGTGACGTAACCGATCAAGTCGCGACGCGTCGTCAAAGCTGACACGACGATTGTCATGGATCACAGAAACTCTCCTTTCTGCATCGCAAGGCGTGTTTCTCGTATAAAAATATATAATCGTAAGTTTCCAAAAAGTATCGTTTCATTATGATTATTAATACTTTTCGATATAACTAAAGTGCAAATGTAGTCGAAAGTGTGTCCGGAAATGTGTCCGCAAAGTCTATTCTTTATATTTATAAGTAGCGTATTCACTTTACTAATTCGACCTGACTCAACAGCGTTCGATTAATCGCTATCGTATCAAAATCTATAACATACGTAATATGAACCCTAAATTTCAGTACTGGTAGCGATTAATGAAACACTGTCTAGTCAGAAAATCAAATAAGACTTATTTTATAACTTTTACTTTTTATTTTTGTTCTTTTATGTCCATTACTGAAGTAACCAAAATCTTCAACGTTATGTTTAATAAAATTTAACAAAGTATTATATATGTATATAATAGACGTATGTTTTCGTCATGAAATTGACAACTTTCATCTTTCCTTTTAGCTTTTGTAAAACTACCGCTAAAATTTCAATTTCGGTCTCACAGTTTTCAATCGAAAATGGTAAAGAGACGAATATTCATTTTCGGGTGAAACTGAAAAAGGTAGTTTCGGTCGGCCGCTACAAACCGTCTGTCTATACAGAAAAAAAGGAACTCGGTTCTTGCAACAGAATGGGGACCGGATGAAAATTCGGTGACAAGAAGCAGTACCCTTGTTACCGCGAACATTCATATGAACATCCATCTCCGTTAAAACTCGGTTGAGACAGCTGAAAACGATTGAACCGAAACTTCCTGCAGAAATCTTTTTGTTCCTACAACCGAATTTTCGTCTGGTCCCCGGGCAACGAAAAATTCAATTACACCGACGAAATTGTTTTTTCCGCGCATACGGCCCCATCAGACTACGCATTGGAGATTGAGACTGAATTGAAATTTGGACAATCGGAACGAAGCTAACTAAACTTCGCTAAACTCAAGTTTACTGAACTTTGCTTCGATTGGGCAAATTTCAATTCAATCTCGATCTCCAGTTCGTAGTCGTAGGGACCACAGACACGCGGTGCCTGCCACCCGAGAGTGTCACTTACGTACCAGTGAACCTCAAAAGACAACCGCTTTCTCTCTCTAGCGCGAGGAGACCCGTAACTACCCGCCGAAACGCAGCCGCAAACTGTCCGGCGCGATATAAAGCGTCCAGATCCTTGCAAGGCGCGTCGAATGTGCTCTTTCAGACGCGAAGATGTCGCGCGCGGTTCCTGCCGAAAGTGTTACACGCATATCTTGAAGACAATCGCTTTCTCTCGTCGCCATGAGGAGCGACAGGACTGCGACATTTATACGTGCCGAAACGCTGTTTCGCGAATTGCCCGGCAGGCCGCCGAGTGGGCGACGAAAAAGCCGGCGTCGAAGAGAGCAGGTCCTTTCGCGGAGGCGTCGCCGATGGAAGGCTCCTCGAAGGAAGCCTACGGAATTTCGCTGGCGGGCACGGCTCGACCTAAATTTTGTGGACAACCGCGGGGGATCGAAAGGACGTGTTTCACCGGCTCGGCTGACTATCCGTTCGTCGAGTTCTTCCTCTTCTAGTAAATAGTGCGCGAATTTGTTCGCGAGTTGAAGCACTGAGAGACATTCGCGAGCCAGTGCGTTCGCGTCGCAAGGATAACACGTCGATATCGCGCCAATATCGCAACGGTATCGCGTCATTTGACCCACTGAGACTGCATTTATTTTCCTATTAATATATGCGCATCAATATGTATAGCTCTTTATATGCGCGCGATCAGAGCTTTTTTCTTTTATTTAATATGCGAACGCCACGGCTTTTAATATAACTTCCAATAAATATTCAAGCTGAAATACTTTATGAAATATATAAAATATTTTCAAATATTGGAAATATTTAAATGTTCGAAATACTTTTTGTTAAATCTTCCCGTTCCCCATCCGCAGAAATTCTAACGAGTCTGACTCGTTTTCATATTTGCATATAAGCTCGCGTCACAGGTGAGACTGCCCAGGGAAAAATGTTTATAATCATATAAAATTATATATAATTATATGTGATTTATATGTGAATTTTATCTATGTAGCCACGTACAAAATTATATATAATTATATATATCCACATGAAGTATAAAAATACTGTTGCATAAAAAACGGAAGAAATGGTTTGATTTAATTAACTATTTACATCGTGGGCAGTCATAAACATGAACATTTACTTCAATTATATTCGTATAATAGCATTTTTTTAGATATAGAATATATACAGAATGTCGCAGACCAACAGAGACAAACTTCACGAGGGCGTAGAACGGATTAAGGTGGACGAAAAGGTCCTCTACTATTTTGCAAGCAAAACGCAAAATTTGGAATTATTAATTATTGAAAATGGCCATGATTATTCTTGAATTAATAAAACTTACGTGTCAAAAACTTACATGTTATTTGCAAAATGCTAAAGGTACAACAACTGTCATATATTTGTAGATTAAGTTTGAAAGACAAAAAT